ATGCAGCACCGGCGGAGTCGCCCAGCCTGCGAACGCCGAGTCTCCAGACGCGCATCCCCTCAGTCGGATTTTGGGCTCCTCCGCACCCAGCTGTGTCATTTTCTGCGGTGTTCCGTGGCGGGAGAACATTCTGGGTATCGAGGTGTCCGGTCGTCCCCGAGGTCCCATTGGAAAAACAATACAATAAAACAGCTGATTAGTTTCATTGGTGGGTATGTGATGGCTCCGCTCTGCCCTGGCCTGTGTAATTACCATTTCATTACCCCCTGCAGAGCAGCGTGGGACCCTGACAGGAAGAGGCCAGGCTCTAACGCCCCCCTCCCTCCCCGGGAAGCCCAACACGTGGGAGCGGTTAACTGACATGGAGAGAGCACAGCTGCACGGGCACTAATGAGGCCCCCCCCGGGCCCCGTGACGACTGTCGTTGTTTATCGCGGTGTGTAAACACACTTATGGCATGCCCTCCTGCCCCGTCGCCGTGGTGACCTCACGCTCCCCCACGTCACATGCCAGTGCCACGTCACACGCCATCATTTCTGCTTCTCCGGGACCGCAGTGTTTTTATCTGCTTAAGGGTTATGAAAAAAATGCCATATTATTGTGGGAAACCAGCCTGCTCTCAGTCTGTGAGATCTGTGTTCCCTATAAAAGCTGCTACCCTGCTCATGGGTTTAAATAGCAGTAATAATGCTGATCTGACACAGATCATTCACATTTTCCTAAAAATAATCAAAGGCCACTCTGTCCTCGGCCGGCCAGAGTTGTGATTAATTGCAGCGACGCCGGTCTGCAGTGTGTCGCACGTGACCACTGGTGCCCATGAATACCGGCCGCAATGCGAATCACAGCCGCGCTCCGTCCCGCGACCCCTCCGCCAAATGCTGAGCACCTTGACCCGCAGCTGTTCTAGGCGTGAGTTTTGACGCTGTCCCGGCCCTGTTGCCGAGGATGTGCCGTTTCATGCAAGCGCTAATCAGACAGGCGAGTGTCCGCGGCAGGTTCCCCTTGGGCCCGCGGCAGGTTCCCCTTGGGCCCGCGGCAGGTTCCCCTTGGGCCCGCGGCACCATTGCATGGGACCCCAGACGGCAGCTTCTCACCCGTTTCCATGAAGACGGCCCCCGTGCCTCGCTGCTGCAGCCAGGGAAAAGCCCTTCAGGGCACAAAGCCCCCTCCTCGTCCTTTTGTATGTGATACAATGTTCCTCCCGGGCAGGCATGCGGGGGCGGAGGCAGCAGCAGCGGGGGGGGGGGGATTCACAGACACCCACCATCCTTTTTTTCGTTGTGTTCCGTTTGGTAACGTTTGGATGCCACCCCAGCAGGTCGCCCGACGGGTGGGTTGGCGGCAATGTGGCCCCAGAGCTGGGACCGGAGGATGTGCCCCCCCACAGTGCCCGATCGGCTGTTGTGACCTTCCAGCTCGTGGACCGCAACGGCAGCCAGGCTCCGGGCTAAAATTACTGCAGCTTAATAAAGGCAAGAGACGCATTTAGGGACTCGTGGTTAAATATAACTGTTTTCTGACACGTAACTTAAATGTTGGCCATTATTTTTGAGCTGTCTCTCCTTGCACTTGTGAGATTTTAGTCCCGGCTGTACTACTTAGGGACGAGCTGCGTGTCACCCTAGCAGCGTCGGGGACAGGGGGGGATCATTGCTGTGACACCAGGGGATGCCTGGGACTGAGCGACGACGGCATTTCAGGCTGCTGATGACGTGTGACAGCTCAACTGAAACGGTCGCCCTAAGCAGTGCCGTATGTCACTTCCTGCCTCTTCTGATTGGTCATAAATAACAGAGATCGGAGCAACTAATTTTTCTGGCCCCTCTGCGCATGCCTGTAATCGTAACGTGGCAGCAGTGACGCAGAGCTGCCACCCCCCCCCCCCCCCACACACCCTGCACGGGAAAGGATCATTTTTAAGGTTGCCTGGCGAATCTCCCTGAGCGGCGGGAGCCTGAAATATTAAACGCGTGACACCGCGAGGTTATCGCTGAAATGTAGGCGCTGGTTGCACGGCCTTTTCCTCTTTAATGATTCATCGCCGGTGAGCAGCAGCCTTGAATGTGCCTCACTCCCCCGCGCCGGGATCATGGACGCCTGTCCGGGATGTTTATCGACGGGCAGTTACAGGGGCCCGCCGACGGCCCCGGGGCCCTCATCAGGACGCCTGCTGTGTGATGCCTTTGTTTGTTTTTTCTTCCCTCCATTATAATCCCTACTGCTTGTTTTTGTTCGTTAGCGGTGGCTTTGGCAGGCTTTCACCGTGCGTGTGTGTGTGTGTGTGTATGTGTGTGTGTATGTGTATGTGTGTGCGCGCGCGCGCGGCTTGTGAGCGCGTGAGTGCGTGTTATGAATTATCATGATTGCTTGCAAAGACGCGTGAGCCGATGTAAATGCAGGAGGTGTCCGCTGATCCATCCCCAGCCATGTGTCCCTCCGCAGCTTCTGTGGCCAGTCGGTGTGGCGCCTTTGCTCTGGTTGCGCTGACCGCACCCTCACTGTTGGGCCGCTAATCCTCGCCATGTCATCGCAAAGCTGGGGGGGGGGGGTGCTTTCGAATTTTAAGACCGCCGGTGTGCCTGGTTTGCTGTTAAATATGCCGTCATAAAAGAAGCGCGTATTGAGCCAGCAGGAGAGGTGGGGGGGGGGGCTGCGGCGAGGGCAGGGGGGCGGCGAGTGCAATCAATAATTCAGCGCGGCGTGGTTCCTCCCCCGTGAGAGCCCTTGGCCGTCTCTTCAGACGCGTGTAAATCCAATCCCCTCTCGCGTCCTTGTTGCAACAATCGCACGTGCTGATGCGCGCTTTCCAGAGATTTTCCATCGCTGAGAGAAGCCCCCTCACGCGCACATGCCCACCCAGACACACACAACTACATGCACACATAGACACACACACACAAATACGCACACACATACATATACAGACACAGATACACTCACACTTACACAGAAACACGTACACGCACACACACATACACACAAGCAGACACGCACACACACAAGCAGACACACACACACACAAGCAGACACACATACACACAAGCAGACACACACACAAGCAGACACACATACACGCGCACACACATACACACAAGCAGACACACATACACGCGCACACACACAAGCAGACACACATACACGCGCACACACACACATCCACACAAGCAGACACACATACTGTACACGCGCACACACATACACACAAGCAGACACACATACACGCGCACACACATACACACAAGCAGACACACACATACACGGGCTTGGTGCCCGTCTGGAACACGCCGTACTCTCTCCCCACATTGTGATTTACACACGTTACCACACCTTGGCAGAATGAACCACAGAAAATGTGAGCGGTAAAGCTTTCTTAAACGGGAGATTTTCTGTCATCGGGGACGGGCGGAAATGCGCCGGGGCGGCCGACAGCCATCTCCGGCTTGCGGATTGTTCCGGAGCTGCCAGTCAGGCTTGCCACTGCCCTCAGTTGCTACGTGAATGGCTCCCCATCAATATCAATCAGAGCAGTGCTGATAGACTGGCCCGGCCCGGCCCGTCTCCCAGGTGCGGTGGTCGGATCCCAGGTGTGGGTGACCGCGCTCTGTAGTCTCCTGCCTCTGATTTGCTCATCTTATAGCAGCGAGAGCGTTTAGCCTGACGCCTGACGGTGCTGCTTCTAGCCGGTTGGACCTCACCTCTCACTCACGACACAGCACCCCCACAGGATTCCCTTCCTGCATCTAAGAACAATGAAAGGTTAGCCCCCCCCCCCAGCAGAAGGAAGTGTGGAAAAGGTGCTGCTTAAGGGAGTAAAACAAGCACATCAAAAGCTCAGCCCGTGGCAGGGAGGTGCAGACCTCCCACCCTGTGGCCCAGAGAAGCCGGGGATCAGCAACGCTCAGGGCCTGATGCTTATCTCCCTCGCCGACCTCGCCGTGCTAATCCCCGAGATGGTTTACATCATCGCAGTCCACTGGTTTCCCAGAATCCTCTCTCATTTTGGCTCTTCAACAGTCTCTAACATCCCCTTATAGGATTTGTCTGTGGGAGGGCAGAGAGGCGTGACGGGGCTGTTAGACAAACCGGACCGGAACCAGGAGTGGTTTGCCCTGTACGCTTGGTTCTTAGCTTTGGATTGCCGGATATCCCAGAATCCAGAGGGCTCGATCCCGCTGTGTCACATTTTGATTATCGTTAGTGTTCTGCTCGCCCGGCACCCCCATACGCCACCCAGACGCTAAAAACAGCGCGTATTCATCATCCTGTGCCAGACCGTGTGAAGCAGGACACGGTGTAGATAAATCACCAGCAGCAGTAGTGTGATGTATTTCATTGAGGATACCGCAAGGGCTTTTGCGGGGGGGCAGAGGGGCAGCGGAAGGCTTGCTGTCACCACACACCTGCAGGTCTGCGTTCGGATCAGAACGCTAACACCGCTTCTCACGAGCTACGGGTTTTTTCCAGAGCAGGAGGGGTACCTGTCACCTAGAGTCCTCCAATGTCAGCGTGACAGCTGCCCCCCCTCTCCCCCCACCCTGGGTTGCCGTGAGCCGGTCTAGATAAGCGGTTATTGAAGACGGATGGCTGGATGAACAGAGGAGTGGGAAAATGGCCGTAAACAGGGGGGGCTGCTTCTCGTGTTCGGTGCTCTGCCACCCTTTGATCCGTCTTTCTGGCCTCTCTCTCTCTCCCTCTCCCTCTCTCCCCCCCTCCCTCTCAGCCTCCTGTCTGTCTGCTCTGCTCTGTGATGTCACTCTAATCCCTTTTCCACTGCCTGCGATTGCATGATAATATATTAATGTCTCTATAGATTTCATAGTTTAACAAAGAATGTAATTTTTTTATATGTAATAATATGCTGAATTAATACATTAATTCATTTCCTGGTTACATGTCAGTGTCTAAAGTCGGAAGTGTTTTTTTGCACGTACAATGAGTGTGTTGCTCTTAAAGCGGATGAGTTGCACTGGTGACACAGTACCTTTCCCCACCTGCAGGTGTCACTGGGCGAGGAGATCAAGCCGTTGAAGTGGTACCCGTCAGTATACCTGCTGGTCTCCCTATTCCCCCTCATCAACAGGTACTAGCCCGTGTAGTTGTGTCAGATTAGCACGTGGGTTAATCCACGTGGAGCAGCTGTTGGCCCTTCAGACTGTGGGCTTTGTGGTTCCGGAAAGTCTGCTAGTGTGCTTCTGCTTAGCGATGCAGCGCTTCGTTGGATGAGGTGTCCAGCGACGTTCTCCTGCTCTCACTGCAAGCGGCGTCTCCGGAATACCGCTGTGCTCTTAGGGGTCCTTGTCCTTCGTTGTCGCTGGTTGTCTTGGCATTCACGCTATGGTCTGTACTTTTTGCCCCCCCCCCCACACCCCCCCGGCGCCTCTCCTCTGAATTCATTTCCAGACATCCTGTAGCGCACCCCCCCACCCTGTCTCTTCTCCTGCGCAAGTATAAATAAACTCTGTCGGCTGTGGCAGGATGGCGTGTGGGATTCACAGTTTCCAAACAAGCGTGAAGCTTCTTCTGTCAGCCGGTCGGGGGTGCTTCCTCATGCCAGAGTGTGGCCTGAACTGACGTCATCCTCTCCCCACCTCACCCCCAAACCCCCAGTAACCCCCCCACCCCAGCCGACACCCCAGGTCCTTCCTCCTTGGCTGTGGTAACCCCACCTCCTGATTGTAGCCCCCCATCCTCCAGATCGTAGCCCTCTCTCCCGATTGTAGCCCCGCCTCCAGATCATAGCCTTCTCTCCCGATTGTAACCCTGCCTCCCGATTGTAGACCTGCCTCCAGATCATAGCCCTCTCTCTCTAATGTAACCCTGCTTCCCAATTGTAGCCCCGCCTCCAGATCATAGCCCCGCCTCCAGATCATAGCCCCGCCTCCAGATCATAGCCCTCTCTCCCGATTGTAACCCTGCCTCCCAATTGTAGCCCCGCCTCCAGATCATAGCCCTGCCTCCCAATTGTAGCCCCGCCTCCTGATAGTACTCCCACCTCCCCTGCCTCAGATCCAGCTGGGCTCCCCCTTGTCCCTGCGGCAACTGCGGCAGCCTGAACGACAGGGGAGGGTAAAGCCCCCCCTTCTGGAAGGCCGTGAGGTAGCTAAGTGATTAGCTCCATCGGCCGCCGTACAGTGGCTAATGTTCATGGAGACACAGGTCGATTGCAGGGTCAAGGTTCCCCCTCCGAAGGCCCACATGATGCTACCCCATCCCACCCCCACCCTTCCAGCGAGTCAGCCCATCTTCCTCCCCATCCGCACAGCAGATCTGACGGCGCCCCCGCGCTTCAGGATCTGTGAATGAATTATGCATTTCCTAATCAGTGTGCAGACATTAGGAGTCCGGCCCAGGTCAGCGCTGCACCGCTGCTTCCACACGGAGCCCATTCTGCCGTTTGGCCTGCGGGGCGGTTCTGATTTATATGGGATCCTCCGCCAAGTCACGGCCCCCGGATCACCACCTTCCCGTGCCATCGAATTCCAAAGACGCCGGTCTGAGAATAGATTTTAAAAAGGAGGCGGTTTGATTTATTACAGAGGTGTGACCTTGTAGTGCAAGGCGAAGCGCGGGCGGGGGGGTAGGGGGTGTCCCTCTCGGCGTGGCTGAAACAGGGCGGGATATCAGGTGTGCCTGTCAGTCGTGAATGGGGGGGGGGCTCGCCTCCCACAAGGGTTCAGGTTTCAGGGGCTGCATTTGAGTGCCGGTGGGAAGCGGGGAGCCGCACACGTCATATGCAGGGACACACACACACACACACAAACACACACACACACACACACACACGCTCGAGGCCAGGCTGTCCCACACAGGGACTCTCTCCGTGCAGAAGCGGGTCACGGCACTAAACGAGCCATGGCCCCGCGCTGCGGAAGAATTACGACCACCCAGCCCCGCGGGACGCTGCTCCGCCCGCACGTCAGGCTAGCGAACCGGAAAGCGGGGCTATAAACAAGAGCGGGGGTCATGGGTACAGGACAGAGTACAGCGTTAACCCCCCGCCCCCCCATCGCTCCCTCCTCCTCACGTCCTTCTCTGCCTCCCTGTTACTTCCTCTTCTCTCCATCGTTTCTGCTTAGCATCACCCTCCTCATCTGCTCCCTCTCTCTCTCTCTCTCTCTTTCTCACACACTCTGTCTCTCTCTCTCTCTCTCTCTCTCTCTCTTGCTCCCTCTCTCCTTCTCTGTCTTTCCTCTCAGCCTTCAGAGCATTTAAAGTTCATGTCACCATCTCCACACGGTTCCCAGACGGACGCCGGCGGGGGGTGGGGGGTTTTGCAATAGCGCTGCCTGAACGGGACTTGCGTGCGAAACGACGACAAACAAGCACACACACACACTCTCACACGCGCGCGCGGACACACATACACATACACATACACACACGGACACGGACACACACACACACACACACACGCGCGCGCGCGCGGACACACATACACACACGGACATACACACACACGGACACACACACACACGCGCGCGCGGACACACATACACACACGGACACACACACACACACATACAGACACACACACACACACACACACACACACACACGCGCGCGGACACACATACACACACGGACACACATACACACACACACACGCGATCTGACACATTGAAATTCCATACCAGCTGTTGGATGTGTGGATGTAAAACGCCTGTGTTTTTCCGGCCATGTCACGCCCCCCCCC